ATACTGCCCAATCTTGCGAGGTCTCTATTCTAGCTGCAGAGAACAGGGTTTGGATAAAGGCCTTCTTTGTTGACAGAATAGTATCAAGGGCTTCTTTGTCCTTGGGGACAATAGCAAATCCAGAGTTAAGTAACAGTACTTCCTGTACTGGCTCTTTACAGCCAGTTTTTGGGTCGCAGAGGGCAAGGTAAATAGCTAGCGCAGAATGTTTCCTTTCAAGAGAGTCTAGAGGTAGTCGTATAAAGACCCTAAGGTCAGATTTCGCTAGGGGTCTCTTATTCTTCTGTAGCTTTGAAGTGACAGGAGGCGGCGGAGGAGGTAGTGTAGTAGTTGCTATAGTGGAGCCTAGGTTTTCAGGCGCTGGGGCATTCTTTGTGGTCTGTGCGTATGAAATCTTTTCCTCAGGAGCCAAAGAGGGGGTTGGAATTGTAGGGGGCGTAGGGCTGTTTCCACCCCTGTAGGAGTCACGGAGAGCTAAAGGTAGTGGAGGCGGGGCCGCTGAGGTGTACGTTCGGTGGAAGGCTAGGCTGAGGTCGGCTACCTAGGTGCAAAAGGCCCTGAGGTAGGGCAAGAGGTCCGGAGGTGCCCCATCAAGAGCAGTACTTAGATAGTGGTCTACAGCTTCTGTCGTGCCCCCGAAGAAGATGTCACGAATCACGTGCTCACGTGATACTTGTCATAATAAGAGGCGCAACCCTCGAAAGGCACATCCAGGTTTCTTATAGCAAATAGGGATCGTTTGGAGTAGCTAAGCGATCCAGGGATTTCTCTGTATTGTTATCACGTGATATTAGGAGTTCGCCAGTTAGCCGGGCGAACAGGCGAAGTTAGCCAGTTCGATTGTCGAACGAGCGAACATCGAGAGAACGAAGGTTCTATATAAGACTGGCACGTCTGCCATTAGATAGGAGCTTCGTGCTCAACTTAGTTATCAATCTTATCATATTAGTTTGACATCTTTGATACAAGTAACGAGTTCACTTCCAAGTGAACAACCCGATAGTCTTCTTCTTATCATAGCATACCAACCAGCGAACACCCAGCCAAGTTTAGTTAGCCAGTTTGAGTATTCGTTACAGAAGATTTGGCCTATGGCACCACGTTCTAGTGCTTTGGTAGTCCCAGAGATGAAGTATTGTTGTATGTTGGGCAGAGGGGGCATCGGGCGTACTCCCCCCTTTCTCAAGCCCCTTCCCAGGGGTGTAGGCGAGGCCGGAGGTCTCCTTGGAGGAGTCTCCATGGAAGGAATCTAGCTTATTAACGAGAGTAAGAGAGATTGGGCGATTTAGAACAAAAAATTCAATCCACGAAAAAAGGTGTGTGTAATAATAGATATATCTATACTATTCACTTAGGTAAAAACTACTCCTAAATACTACGTTTTGATTAGTCAGAAAAGCCTCTGGAATTCCAGAGACTAATCGATAGAAGTATTCTATTCCATTTTGTAGGTGCTCTAGAAGTATTCTATATAGAATATTCCACCTGTTATTCCATAGAATATGGTTCCTTTTGCCGAGCGTTGGGCTAATTGAAACTTGTAAACACTTCTAGGATAGCACTTGAAAAATTAGCGGATTCTAGGGCGCGTTTAGTTACCTTAAATAAATTAATATTCCAGAATGTGATTTTGAGCGTCTGATGGCAGTTTTGTATGAAGGATATCGTGTAATGCGAAATAGGAGGGGGAATGAGATGGAAATGGGCATTCCTAGTTTAGTATAGGGGAATCTTAGATAGGGATACAAGGGTTCTGTATCTAGGCTATTATAGCTATGCTATGAGAAAGCTAGGTGTAATAATAAATATAACGTGAGCAAATTAGAAGACCCGTAGGATGGAAAGGATAGTTAGGATGTTTTCAGGGCATGAAGTTCTTAGAAGGGTTTGGAGTTAGATTACAACAAATAGGATATATAATACGAGTAATATAATACCCGGTATTAGATATATATCTTTTCAAGGAAGATTATTGAAATTAGAATTCTAGTAGAATATAAGAATATGAAGCACTAAGTATCTCTCACAAGAAACACAAAGTACCAGAGATCTTCCATTCTAACTGGGATTAAGAAAGACTTATTATACATAATCTCATATAAGTTCTTGGCTATATAGTACTTTGAATTGATTCCTTGTTTAATACTTGAAAACGTATTTCAAGGGGGGAGGGGAGAGTACTAATGGGCATCGTGAGAAATGATTAGAATAGACTAACTAACGAGCTCTTAATCTAAGTTATTCTAATCAACTGGACCTCCTAATCTTAATCAATCACTTGATTAATTATATAATCTAATTAAATTTATTAATACGGCCGAGCCCTCGGACCGGTAGACCGAGGGCTCGGAGGGTGCTCGGCAGACTACGCGCTAGCCAAGCGAGAGCCCCTATACTATAGATAATAATGGATAGAGTAGACAGCTAAAGTAGGTTAAAAACGCTCTAAGGAGCCTAGAATTAGACGAGAAAACTCTACTATATAAGTAGGATTAGAGGTAAGTCACATGATCGCGCGTGCCCCTATGTTAGTTATAACATCTACTAGTAGTCTATAGGAACGTTCCTTGTCCGTTAGTTATTAAATTACCTATTATATCTTTACTCTTATTTTCTCTATTTAGTAACCTTTCAATAAGTTCCCAAAGTGTATTAGTAGTACTTTGAAATATATAACTTACTATTATTTTAATTAATAAGATTAACTAAACGCCTCTTCATCTATTTAATCACCTGAAGTCGCTAATCCAAATCAATCAATTTAATCATGATTGAGTTGATTACTAATCGATTAAGCGATTAATTCGTTCTCACGCTGCTAATGGGCAACGATCGGCAAATGGAACTAGATTCCATGGAATTATGGAATTCCAGAGTAGCTTTTGACCAATCAGAAAGCAGGACTTATAGAGTATTAAAGTAAAAATTACTCCATTTTGTACTATATACCTAACATAACTTATTCTAATTTCTCTTGACCTCTTCGTCACTTCCTCTACCTAATATCTCTTTAGAAGTCGCATATAGACAAGCTATATCACTATAATTATTTATAGTGTTTGAATCTGTAATAGTAAGTACCTCTTCCAACTGCCCTGCCTATCGCTTGTATTACTCTTTAATATAATTAATACTAGTAATATTCCTAATACGCACTGACCAGGCCGTAGGCCGTTAGACTTCCTATTGGTCAATCGGCTCGGGCGTACCCTTTTCCGGTCATGTGACTTGGTTCCATGGAATTCCAGTGGAATAGGGGGTATGGAATGGAATAATTTCAGAATTATTCCTAATGGAATGGAATGGAATTCCAGTTGCCGATCGTTGCTAATGGGACGGGATAATTATTTATTGGTTTTTTGATTCGAAAACTACTTACAAGATAGGTACCTACGCAAGGAGACGGTTTAGTGACAATTAAGTTGTGTGTAGAGTAATGAGATTTGTGACTTGTTACTACCTGAAGACGCCTTAGAGCGATAAATGGATTATTAGTGTTTTGACTTTGTTTATAGTCTAGAGAGGGGTCGACAGATAGTATTAAAGCAACGATAACAACCCATTATAGAAGAGTCCCTTTTAATTAATCCAAATAACCACACACCTACGCCCTGAAAAAAAACCATAAGCCCACCCCCCCAAATCCAAAACAGAACAAAATCACGAAGCGAACGACCCCTCCAAAAAAAGGGGGGAGCGAGTGGTTCGTGCCCGCCCGTGCCTACGCTTTACCGGGTTTGGATCACGATACGATACGATACGATCCACAATCTTATCAGACACGGACACACAATTCACGATCGTAGATTTATTTTGCGGAGAAAACCTGGGGTATCGAGATATTATTTCCTCTTTTGAAAAACTGCCTTCAATTTTCATTTTTTGGGGGGTGTTAGGGCGGTGAGAAGCTGACGGACAGGTGTGGTTTCTATTTTGGCGGTCAGCGGAAATAGATCGTGGGTGATTGGTTGGTTGGTTGGTGGGATGTCGGAGGTTTGGTGCCGAGGGTTGGTAGGGGAAGTACGAGTACAGGTGTCGGAGGAAAATGGTGAATTTGTTTGATGGTGGAATTGGATGGATGGGCTAAAATGGTGTAGCTTTGAATTGAGGACACTTATGGTAGGCAAGGTTTCCCGGGAGTATGGTTTGAGTCAAGATGAGGCGTTGGGTGGAGGTTAAATAAGGCGGTGGATACTGAGTACTTGAGCAGAAGGAGAGGAGGTGAATGAGTAGTTATGAGTTTCTAGGAGGAGTCAGTCATTGTATAGGAAGTTCCCAAAATTAGAAGGTCTTCCTAGATTTGACATCCTTGGGATGAGATGAGGTACCCGGACGTTTTTATGCTTCATTTTGAGGTTTGAAGCTGTTGTATATTATATCGGGGTTAGGATATATCCGACTACCGTGGAGCCTAGATTTTTGTTTCAAGACTAACGAGACGACCTTCCTGAATCGTTAGAGGGATCTTTTGCCTTGGAAGTACTTGCAGGCCGTTTTTATTGAGAAATAGTGCTAAAGAATCATGAGTAGTGGAGAGTGAATGGGTAGCTTCGGGAAAAGAAGGATAAATTGCATGTGTATCTGTATCCTTACGATAGATATATTGCCTTATCACAGATGTGGCAATGGATCTAGCTGTTGAGTAACCCACCATACCTTACAGCTGGTTTGCCTTGTCGTACGGTACTGGTAAGCTGAATGCAGTGGAAGTCAAGATGAAGAATCCAACGTTTTTCTCTTAATATTTCTTAGCATCTCTCAAAAGTGAAGTCAAAATTGTAGTGTACAAAAGACTGTCTTTGACTCTGCTGAAATTGATGTCAGTATGAATTGTCGGTGGCAAATTAGAAACCCTATTTGGGTACTAATTTGGGTACTAGGGGGGGTAGTGAATGGGAAAGAACACTGTGGTGTCTCCCTCGCTGGTCTGATAAGCCGCTGTAGTACTAGTCTCGACTAACCTTGCCCCTGCCATAATTTTTCTGCCACCAAAGGCGAACGGCGAACGCAACCCAAAAATATTTAATCCCATCGCGCCTTCTCAACCACTTCCTTCTCTCCTTCCTACATACACAAATTTCTTTCGAGGAATCTCTCCACTCCTTTCTCTTCTTCTCCTCTACTAATTCTGCACATCGCGACCGTCGCCCTCCCACTTCCCCTCTGCGGCCTCTCGAAACAATCTCGAGGTTATTTCGGTCTCTGGCCCCTGCAGCCTCCACTCACCGATCCGACCCAGGCTTAGCGCGTAAATTTCTTCCCTTATCGCACAAAATCCCACTTCGCCCCTCCTTCGATTTCTCGACATGCCTTCAACCATCTCCGATTCTTCAACTCAGCCATCAATCAACAAAATGGCCGAAAACAAGAATAGCGTCAAGGTTCTTGATGAACTCATGGCCAAGCTGAACATCAGCAAAGCCCAAGAAGACATCAACGCGGCCACCCACAACCTGGCCGTTTTCATTAACGGTCCTATTGAGGAGCACGATGCCCCAACCAAGTAAGTAACCACCACCACCAACACCACCACCATTTTTCAAAAAATCTATACCACCAGTATTGCCGTCGCATCGCAGATATCAAGTCCGCATAGGTGGGCTTCGACGATATCTGCGATCTGTGGTGGCGATTTCTTTGGTCTCAACACCATTCTTGGAATTTTTTCCAAAAATTGTTTTCCGCAATGCTGACGCCGCTCACCACAGGACCGTCGAGGCTTTAAAGAAGCAACTCGGCAACAAGAAGGATGCCGCTGTCCGCGAACGTGCTCTCAACGCCATCCAGGCTATTGCTGAGCACGCCGATACCTCTGCCTCAGTCGAGCCATACCTGATCGTCCTCCTCCCAAATGTCCTCTCCGCCGTTGGTGACAAGCTGGTTCCTGTCAAGAACGCCGCCCAGGCTGCTGCTTTGGCTATTGTCAAGGCTGTCAACGCCAACGCCGTCAAGGCAGTCCTCCCACCTATCATCAACTCCATCCTCACCGCACAAAAATGGCAAGAGAAGATCACCGGTCTTACCTGTATCGAGGCTCTCGTCGAGTCCGCTCCTTCACAACTCGCTTTCCGTGTACCAGAACTCATCCCAGTTGTCTCCGAATCCATGTGGGACACCAAGCCAGAAGTCAAGAAGATGGCCTACGGCACAATGGAGAAGGTTTGCGGTCTGATTGTCAACAAGGATATTGAGCGATTCATTCCTGAGCTTATCAAGTGTATCGCCAAGCCAGAGAATGTCCCAGAGACCATTCACTTGCTCGGTGCCACCACTTTCGTTACTGATGTTCACGAGCCAACCCTCGCCATTATGGTACCTCTTCTCGATCGTGGTCTTGCTGAGCGTGAGACTGCCATCAAGAGAAAGACTGCCGTTATTGTCGACAACATGTGCAAGTTGGTCGAGGACCCCAACATTGTTGCATCTTTCTTGCCAAAATTGATGCCTGGTCTTACCAAGAACTTTGAGAACTTGGCTGATCCCGAGGCTCGTGAGAAGACCCGACAAGGTCTCGACACTCTCATCCGTGTCGGTAACGTCAAGGATGGCAAGATTCCAGAGGCCTCCAACCCTGGTGACCTTGCAACTGTTACTGGTCACTTGAAGGCAGTCCTTGAAGGTGGCAAGCACAAGGCTGTTATCACCAAGTTCGAGCCAATTGTCAACTACGCCGCTGCCATTGCTGCTCAACTTATTGACGAGAAGGACGCTGATACGCACAGCTGGGCTATCGCGATCAAGTCATACCTTGCTTCAATTCTCGGTGAGAAGGATGCCGAGAGCGCTGTCGACCAACTCCGAAAACGTGCTTCCCCAGGCGCTGAGGCTGAGGATGCCGAGGAGGCTGATGATGAGGAAGGAGAGGATCTTTGCAACTGCACATTCAACTTGGCTTATGGTGCTAAGATTCTTCTCAACCAGACTCATCTCCGTCTCAAGCGTGGTCAGCGTTACGGTCTTTGCGGTCCTAATGGTTCCGGAAAGTCTACTCTTATGAGAGCCATCAACAACGAGCAAGTCGAGGGTTTCCCAAAGAAGAGCGAAGTCAAGACTGTGTTCGTCGAGCACGATCTCGACTCCGCAGATACTGAGCAGACCACCATTGCCTGGACTATGAAGAAATTGAAGGAGGTTGGTGTCCAAACCTCCCAAGAGGATGTCGAGAAGCAATTGGGCGAGTTCGGTTTCACCCCCGAGATGACCAGCAACCTCATCACTGCTCTTTCCGGAGGATGGAAGATGAAGTTGGCTCTTGCCCGTGCCGTGTTTGAGGACCCAGATATTCTTCTTCTCGATGAGCCTACGAATCACTTGGACGTAAAGAACGTCAAGTGGCTCGAGACTTACCTCCAAAACTCCCCATGTACCTCCATTATCGTGTCTCACGACAGTGGTTTCCTTGACAACGTCTGCCAGCACATTATTCACTACGAGAGATTCAAGCTCAAGAGATACCGTGGTAACTTGAAGGAGTTTGTCAAGAAGTGCCCATCCGCCAAATCCTACTACGAGCTTGGTGCCTCTGAGATCGAGTTCAAGTTCCCTGAGCCAGGTTTCCTCGAGGGTGTCAAGACCAAGGCAAAGGCTATTGTGCGTGTCAGCAAGATGACCTTCCAATACCCTGGTACACCAAAACCCCAAATCCAGGATATCAGTTTCCAATGTTCGCTCGGTTCCCGTATTGCCGTCATTGGTCCTAACGGTGCTGGAAAATCCACTCTTATCAACGTCTTGACTGGTGAACTCATCCCAACCATTGGTGATGTTTACACTCACGAGAACATCCGTATCGCCTACATCAAACAACACGCTTTCGCCCATATCGATCACCACCTGGAGAAGACTCCTTCCGAGTACATCCAATGGCGTTTCCAGACTGGTGAAGATCGTGAGACTATGGATCGTGCCAACAAGATTGTCACCGATGAGGATGAGAAGGCAATGGACAAGATTTACAAGATTGAGGGAAGCCAACGTCGTGTCATTGGTATCCACTCTCGTCGTAAGTTTAAGAACTCTTACGAGTATGAGTGTTCCTTTGCACTTGGTGAGAACGTTGGACAAAAGAACGAGCGATGGGTTCCTATGATGACTGCCGATAACGCTTGGATTCCTCGAACTGAAATCTTGGCATCCCATCAAAAGATGGTTGCTGAGGTTGATCAAAAGGAGGCTCTTGCCAGTGGTCAATTCAGACCTTTGGTCCGAAAGGAAATTGAGTCCCACTGCGCCAACTTTGGTCTCGATGCTGAATTGGTTTCTCACTCCCGTATGTTGGGTCTTTCTGGTGGTCAACGTGTCAAGGTCGTTCTCGCTGCATGCTCTTGGCAACGACCTCATTTGATCGTTCTTGACGAGCCTACCAACTACTTGGACCGTGACTCTCTTGGAGCTCTCTCCAAGGCTCTCAAGTCTTTCGAGGGTGGTGTTATCATCATTACTCACTCTGCTGAGTTCACCAAGGATTTGACTGAGGAAGTTTGGGCTGTGTTGGACGGTAAGATGACACCATCCGGACACAACTGGGTATCTGGACAGGGTGCTGGACCTCGTCTAAAGGGAGATGACGATGATGAAGAGGACAAATTCGATGCCATGGGTAAGCTGATTTCCTCTCGTTCATACATTGACTTTTGAAATTAACAACTATACAGGTAACAAGATTGTCTCAACGAAGAAGGCCAAGAAGCTCACCTCGGCCGAGTTAAGAAAGAAGAAGAAGGACCGTATGGCCCGAAGAAAGAGAGGTGAGGAGGTTTTCTCGGATGAGGACGATTAGATTTGTGGTTACGAACTCTGCAAATTCAAATTAGGAGAACAAAAAATGAATTATGTCAGTTAAGGGGTCTGGGTTGTGCATTTGGCTGGCTGGAGTTACATTTGTCTTTTTGTCTTAATGTCTACCGTTCTTTCAGGCAGAATAGAAGATAGATACTTCAAAAAATAGAATTCTTCATTTATGCAAGGAATCATCAAGTACTTCAAGATTAGTTTTTTGAGATGCGCTTCTTTTGTTCGTATTAGTGAATGAGTAAGATTACAGTAACATATGATTTGGGTGAATCATGAATGTATTCTCTTGACGAAGGAGGGTGAAAAGGGTTCTATGCGGTAAGCATGTTTGATAGGGATTGGATTCCAATCTAATCAAGGTCAAGACTCCCTTCCCATTCCAGGAGAAGGAACTAAACTATAGTACGAGATATCGTGATAATAATTCACGAGATGTTGAGTCGCGTTCAGTGAATTTCATTACCTACCTAGGTTAGTAGAAATGTGAATATTTTATATTTAGAATATAGTGAATGTTACGAGGTTCTATATGGTGTCATAGTGAATACATAGCCCTTCTCTACTTTGTTATGTTCTGTTTCTGGGAAGGATTTATAGAGAAGTAGGGGGTAGGGGGTGTGTATTTTAATGGGAAATGGGGAAGAAAGGGGGAATGGGATGGGGGATAGGGGAATTGGGGAATTGGGAAAAGAGGGGAAGATGGATGGGGGGAAACGGGAGGAAGGGTCACTTGATGTGTTATGTTATGGGCTAGGTTAGGCTAGGTGGTCTGAGGTAAATTTGAGATACTGTAGAGGCTGGGGATTAAGATTAAGGTGGAGATGGAGGCGGGGGAGAGGAGGAGGAAGGCGAGAGGGGATGGGGGGTTAGTGAATTCGGTAGTTGATAGTGAAATGTGAATACCGTGTTAATTGGATTACAAAATAACATTCTTCTTTAAGATAACATGCGTATATCGTATATGGTTCTAAAAGTTTGTAGGATTAGTATCTTATAACTTTGACTAATTAGAGAGCTAGAATCTTAAATTAATAATTTTATATTAATCTTTCTACACTTATTTTAGTACTACTACATACTCTAAAAGACACGGGATTTCAGAGCTAAACTCGTAAAACTATATTTAATAACTGGTAACTTATATGAAAAAATAATATGTATTCTTCTAAAGCTAGCTATTCCTAATGTCACGAATCACGTGCTCACGTGATACTTGTCATAATAAGAGGCGCAACCCTCGACAGGCATACCCAGGTTTCTTATAGCAAATAGGGATCGCTTAGGGTAGCTAAGCGATCCAGGGATTTCCATTGGTTATGGTCACATGATTAAGTTGGATCGCTGGATCGCTCGGCGACCTAGCGAAACGGACCGCCAGCTCGACAGGCGAGTTGGCTACCCAGATCATAGTACTTGAGGATGAAGGTTCTATATAAGACTGGCACGTCTGCCATTAGATAGGAGCTTCGTGCTCAACTTAGTTATCAATCTTATCATATTAGTTTGACATCTTTGATACAAGTAACGAGTTCACTTCCAAGTGAACAACCCGATAGTCTTCTTCTTATCATAGCATACCAACCAGCGAACACCCAGCCAAGTTTAGTTAGCTAGTTTGAGTATTCGTTACACCTAATTACCCCGTATGCTATAAGTACCCCGCTATCTATCTGTATATATCTATATCTATATAGTCCTCGTTAAAGTTAGGAGATATGTTATAGTCGTTACTATCGAATACGTCTTTAGTATTATCTCTACTATTAGTAGTTATATCTAGTTATACTTATTATCTTCCTCGAAATTAATAATAAACACTAAAAAAGGGGTAAAGATATTTATTAAGATATTACTTTTTTTAGTATATAAGGTTTATATTCGTCCCTAGATAGACTTTTTATATATAATATATTATATTGTAATGTAATAAATACGGTAGTTAATCGAGAAGTGTAAATTATAAATACGAAATAGAGAGTAGTAAGAAGTAATAAGTGGAGCTTAGGGCTAAGTAGTAACAAATCGTAAAGTAGAAGCGTAGGAATTATAAAACAACTTTCTTATATATAATATATAAATCATACGAATAATTACTATCTCCCTTTCCCTAAGGTTCTTATAAAAAATCGTGATCTTATCCTAGAATACTAGGTACCTAGGAGCTAGGTATATTCCTACCAGGTACGGAGTAACACATTAATAAATACAAGGTATAAAATAAGAACAGGATACTTATAATATATCCCTTTGAAATCTATACCTTAGATACTTGAAGTAAAATCTACCTGACTTGTACCTTAGGTAATTTTTCCAGATCTACTACTTCTACATTCGTACGAAATAAACGAAGTAAGATTACTACAGTATTACGGAGTGTATCTCCGATACTTAGGTACTTATACTCGGTACTCCGAACTACCGTACCTACCTACTTCTACAATCATACTTACAATTATACAAATACAATCAGTACCAAGACTAATCCCTCTCCCATTGTACCTCGTACTCGTACCAAGGAAAAAATCAAACTCTTTTCATGATTAGAGTTTCGATACGAGTAGCGTGCGGGAGTGGGGGATTATACTTCGTAGAGTGGGGGTGCGGTGATTGTCTCACAAATGCACCTACCTGCATGGAAAAGGGACCGTGAGGATCTTGGGGGATATTGTTCGCTTATCGCGTTTGGAATTGTGGGTTAGGGGTTTTATGGGGTGATGGGTTTGTGGGTGGGGGGGAGAATTATAGAGGTAGAAGTAGGTCTAGATGAAGATGAATGATTGGAGGGTTATGAATGATTGGAGGGTTGGAGGTGGGGGATGGTACTGTATGTCCGGCCATGTGAAGGAAAATGGAGGAAATGGCAGGAAATAAACCATTTCAAAGTCCAGATTCATTACAAAGCCACCCCCATCCACCCATGCCTAACCACTCTTCTTCCCACCAAACAACCTAAAAGGCCACATTCCCATAACCACCGCACCCAACAACTTAACCGCCCATCCAGCCGCCGTCCAAAATCCATACAGCAAGAACGTCCCAAAAGCATTAGTCTTCAAACTATCCGTCTTGGCCGTATAAAGCACCCTCCGTTCCCACTCCTCAATTCCAATCTCGCCCTTAAAAACACTCTCAAGCAGTAAAGCCTGCGAAGCAGAGGATGTCGTGCTGAGCGCCAAATGGGGACGCACGAGATTCAATGCTTCGCCTGCGAGCAGGACCTTGTTGGAGAGAGCGAGCGCGGAGGGAGAGGCGATGTCGGAGATGGCGGTTATGAAGGGGGTGCTGGTCTTTTGGATTACTTCGTTGAAGGGGGGGTTCATTACGGTTGTGGCGAGGGAGGTGTAGGTTGACCACGCGGTGGGGGACATGGTTCCTGCGGGGAGAGTGTTGCGGTGGAGGGTGCCGTGGGTATCGGTCATTATTTGGGGGAATGAGGGTGAGGTGGAGGGGAGTGGGTGGTACCAGACCCAGTTGTAGCGGCGGGAACCGGGGGTGAGGGAACCGTTTTGGCCGGGTATTATGTAGCTGTATTTTATGTTAGGTTGATTTGATTTGGGGGATGAGGGAAAGATACTTACAGCAAGATGTATCCGTTCTTGTAGGTATAGTAACTGAGTCTTGGGTCGAAAACCTTCTTCGTCTCCTCGCTCACCTCACTCTCCGGTACCGTGCCTCTAAAAGCAACATAGCCAGCATACTCTCTCTCCAAACCTGGAAACAGCTTTGCTCGTAACGACGAATTTGCTCCATTGGCAATAATAACGAAATCGGCCATGATGCTCAGATTCTCCTTCGTCTTCTCCCCGGAAACATCATCATATGTAACCTTTACCTTCTCTCCCACAAGCTCCACAGCAGTAGCTACCTTCCCTTCATCAAAAATCACATCGCCATCCCCTTCCTCCTTGACAGGCGGGGGACCTTTACAAAACTCACTAGCCAAACCATCGAAGTTCGCACGAAGACGATGATAAATGAAACCCCACGAGGTCATATGAAGAGCCTTTTCCACCTTGCGTTTTGCGCCTCCATCCTTATTGAGGAATTGGAGGCCGGGGGAGACAATAGACCACGGTTCTTGCGATTTATCATGCACTTCCATGAATTTCTCAAAGGCGGGGTGGGTGGTGATTCCGGCAGCGAGGTCGGACCGCGTGGTTTGGGTGTTTTTCTCGAGGATGTGGACGTTGTGACCCAGTCTCTTGAGAACGATGCCGTTCATGAGGCCGGTGTTGGAACCGCCGATCTTGCGGCGTGGTTAGTCTTCACCATGACATTGGAGAAGGGTGGAGAGAGGAGGGGAAAGAAAACCATGGTGATTTGGGGGTGAGTATAAACCTACGATGACAATGTCCATCCTGGGAAGGGCCATGGCGATGGTGTTGTATGCGTTCTGTTGGAGTGAGATGGTGGGGATGTCGGTATCTCAGCCTTGTTGGGCCCCCAACGTGGGGGAGGGACCGAAACTTTGTTTCTACTCGACCGGATGCTAAGAAGGCGGAGACGAGTATCGGGATCTTGGTCTGTATGGGCGATGGTGCTATTCAGAGTTTTCCCGGTTTTCAGCTCAGATGCCCGTACAAGAGGAACGAGACATAAATATGGAGATGCAAGGAAGGTGAGAGGCTGGATGGTTGAAGCGAGAAGGGATGTTAGCCGGATGTTACAGCACGCTCGACCTGCCAACCGCTGTATCGCGCAATATAGACTTTTGCACTTTGGGGTGTGATAGGTAACCAACTTAGCATCTATTGGCAATTCCTTTCCATCACATTCACCTCACGTAATGTGACAGATTAGACAATTACGGACGTAGACGGTAGAGGTGTATACAAGGCTCTTGAAGACCCGAAGACCCCACTAAAGCTGTCATGGAAATGGAAATTAGCCTAGCCGAAACGCATAACCGAAACACACCCCGCCATCGACATACCTTTTACCTTTGGTGCACTGCAGCCTCTTTTCTCATATCGCCCGCATGGACTTATTTGAAGGACTTCGTACGTACAATTAAGAGAATTTGAAGAAACTTACCAACTAAATAATTGGTGATCAGTATCTGCCGGTCGCCGACTTTGGTACGACGAAGTTTCGGTAATCCTGCAATTAGGCTAAGAGCGATGGTGCAGGAGTACAACAGCCGACTAGGTACTTCTAGCAGCATACCAAGGCGTGTGCAACCCCTACATTCAGCTGCTTCCAATCATTCCCACATTCTCCGCGGCCAAGAATATTCTGTCACTTGCTTGAGTGTGTGAAGACACAAGAAGACCCCAGGAGGTTCCACTAAGTCCTCCATCCTCCATCCTCCTGATGCAACATGCCTAGCGATGAGCCCTTACTAGTCCAGCCTTTTGTGCTTCCACCCATGCTGAAGTGGTTCTCGTACATCGAGATTCATAAAAGATTTAATGCCCACCTTCGTCTCCACGAATGTGTGTGAGGCTCCGTCAACCTCTATACTTTGCCATACACCTGCAACCCCGCATTTAACATTATGGCCGTCTCTGACACTGGCAAGACTACCTCGAACGTTTCCGTAGTCCTAGCTATTTTAGCTGTGCTTTCCGTCGCTCTTCGTTTTTGGTCTCGGAAGGCGGCTAGAGTTGGTTATGCCGCCGATGATTGGTGGATCCTCTTTGCCACCATTTCCATGATTGCTGTGGGTGTTGTTCTGCTATGGGGTACGTCTTTCCCACTGCTTGGATATATGTGTATATGTAGATTATAGAGCGCTACGGCTCCTATCAAGTAGCCAAATCTGATTGGAGTATAGGCGTTCGAACCGATCCAAATGGAGGAGAATTCATAGACCGAGATTCACCTACCTTTAACTATGCCCCACATACTTCGTATTTGAAGTCAGCTTTCGTGTCCGCCATTCTATATTTCGTCGTCACCACGGCCATCAAAATCTCCATCTTGCTCATGTATCGCCGGGTCTTTTCCGTGGGCTCCTTCCGCACGCATTCATTGATTGTTGGAGCAATTTCCGTTACATGGTGGCTCGCAGGAACGATTGCAACCATAGTTAGTTGCATTCCCATCCATCGTCTGTGGATTGGTCCATCAGCAGGAGGATATTGTTTTAATTTCAACATCTACTGGATGGCCATGGGTTCCGTGGAACTCTTAATAGATATGGCAATCTTGATATTACCAATTCGCATGGTCTTAACCCTACGTCTAGATCGTCAGCACAAAATCCTCTTGGTGGCAATCTTCTTACTTGGCGGCTTGTATGTGATCTTCCCTTCTCTCCATTGTCCCACTAACAGAACTCCAAGTGTCATCATAACGGGTATTGTCCGCGTCATCCTTGGTTACAAACCTGGGAGTCAGAATGTCGCTTTCTCCAAAGCCGAGTTATGGTCTGCTGTGCACATAGGAGTAGCGATCATCTGTGCCTCTTTGCCATGCCTTCGACCATTCCTCCTTTTAATCACCCGAACCGCTTCTACTATCCGTAGCCGCTTGTCTGGATCGAGTGGCAGCAATTACAAGCATAGTGGTGCAGGTTCATCCGGGAATCAACAACAAGGTTCTGAAGAGGCTAGCACTGGACCTGCAAGTCCGAAGGGCAGAACATCGCGTGTAGAGGCGCTGACTTTGCAAACTATGGATCATGATATGCGGGTAGCAGATACGACGGGACTAACGAGGGCGAGTACTCGTACTAACGACCTGGAATTGGGTAAACCTTCCATCTCCTCCAGTAGAGGAACCAGGCCGGAAACTGGAGAAAAAACCGTACAACGGTTATAAATGTATATAAAAAACAGAATTTTGGGCGCAGGAAAATGCATTTGTATATAAGCAAACTTTTATGAGATATGATATAATTCCAAGATTATTTAAATATAATTCAAGATGACATCGTACCTAGAGAAGGCTCGGTGATGGTTGGTAGTTTTTGTATCAGTCGGGGACGAACTTCCCCATAAGGTGATAAATATATAAAGTTTCTCATGCGAGAACTGTTGTTATAGTTGTCGAAGTGCAAACAGATTTCGACAGCTACAAATACAGAATCAAGCACTGTACCTAGGTAGGCAGGTAGGAAGAGGTTCGTTTGTCGCTAGAAATTAGTTGAGACACTACGAGAATTCAAGCGATCATCCAATCCAATACCCCTCCACCCGACTCGCCTCGCACGCACGTCACCTGATCTGCACATGGAGTTCCCTCGGCGATCCAAAGGTCCAACGGTCCACCTGGGCACCTTGGAAGCTAAAAATTCAACTGGTCTTATTAGCACTCGCTCGTCGTCGCATCTTGACTTCATTACCATCCCACAATTCACATCTCTCAATTCCTCTCTAATTCCTCTTCATATACTCCAACATGTTCGCCGCACGCAGAGCATTAACTGGTGCCTTCCAAACCCGCGCTTTCTCGGCCTCCGCCAGAGATGTACGTCCTCCCACCAACATCCCAATTCCGCAGAGGCCGTCATCGGGAAGCTTCAATGAGACAATTGCTAACTGATCCTTTCGCAGCTGTCCAAAGTCACAGTCCTCGGAGCCGCTGGCGGAATGTAAGAGCTTCCAGGTCGGCATCAATATCCATGGGAGCGTCACTGATCTTTCACCTAGTGGACAGCCATTGTCCCTCCTCCTCAAGCTTAACCCAAGAGTTTCCGAGTTGGCCTGTATGCAACATCCATTTCCCAATCTGCGAGAGTGACGTCGCTAATAGTGATCCTGCAGTATACGATATCCGCGGAGGCCCAGGTTGGCACAAACCCTTCCCGAACTCGAGCTCGAATTCCCTACTAATTCCCCAACCCAGGTGTCGCCGCCGATATCTCCCACATCAACACCAAGAGCTCAGTCACCGGCTATGACCCAACACCATCAGGTCTCGCCGCCGCCCTCAAGGGATCAGAGATTGTTCTCATTCCAGCCGGTGTTCCTCGCAAACCTGGCATGACCCGTGACGATCTTTTCAACACAAATGCATCAATTGTCCGAGATCTGGCCAAAGCTGCTGCCGAGTCGGCCCCAGATGCCAACATCCTCGTTATCTCCAACCCAGTAAACAGCACAGTCCCAATTGTTGCTGAGATCTTCAAGGCAAAGGGAGTCTACAACCCAAAACGTCTCTTCGGTGTCACCTCCCTCGATGTTGTTCGTGCTTCCCGATTCGTCTCTGAGATCAAGAAGACCGACCCAGCCGATGAGAACATCACCGTTGTCGGAGGTCACTCCGGTGTCACCATCGTACCACTTTTCTCCCAATCCAACCACCCAGATTTGGTTGGAAACGCTGAGCTCCTCACCCGTGTCCAATTCGGTGGTGACGAGGTCGTCAAGGCTAAGGACGGTGCTGGATCAGCTACTCTCTCCATGGCTATGGCTGGTGCCCGTATGGCCGAGAGCTTGTTGAAGGCTGCTCAAGGAGAGAAGGGTGTTATTGAACCAACATTCGTTGACAGCCCTCTCTACAAGGATCAAGGTGTTGATTTCTTCGCCAGCAAGGTCGAGTTGGGACCAAACGGTGTCGAGAGGATCCACGATGTTGGAAAGGTCTCCGCAGAGGAGCAGAAGCTTTTGGACGCTTGCTTGGCAGACTTGAAGAAGGTAAATACACCCCTTCCATTCTCATACTAGAATTATATTAACAAATTGATATAGAACATCGCCAAGGGCGTTGCTTTCGTTGCCGAGAACCCAGGCAAATAAATGTCCATCCCTTCACTACCACCCCGTACTAGCCTACAGCATAAACCTCTCACCTCCCCTTTTATCCACGTCCCAAGCGTGAGGAGAAACTGGCACATAATAGAGTGAAGGATCTGGAATTGGAGCAAGCAACTTTTTGTCACAAAACACGTTGGTTTGTGGGGGATGGCTGCTAGATTTCTGGAATTTTCTTTTTGAAATGATCTTTTTCGCCTCTACTACTACCCAAACCTATGTATTCTAGTAATTCAGATGAGATGATGAAAGATGAACAATTGTTTGATTATGATATGCTTTTCCATTGGTTTTTTGCGTCATTGTTTTCTTTTTATGGTGTTGAGATTGTTGAGAGATAGAAACGAGACTATTGATGTACCCCGCGTTGCAATCCAAGCGAGGACAAGGAATCTAGGATACCAGCCACGCTTCGAATTTTCCAGGTGAGGGAGTACTTGACTACTTGTTTAGCGGCTAAATTACTTCTCTACTGAGCCGCAACCCATACTAGAGATAGAAGAGAGAATACGAGTCAGACATGTATCCGATTGCCATTTATCCTCAATCAAGGCGGGGACATGTTGGGAATGAAAACGGGAGATTGCTACCTCTTCGTAGATGATTCCTCAAAACAGCGCCTGAGCCTGTCTGGCACGTCAAGATGAATGGTTTTTTCACTTCCTCTTTTTTTTCTGGACTTTTTCTTTTCGAATGGGGGGTTTGGGCATTCTTTTCTAGTGGTGGTGCGATGTGGAATAGATGTAAGACTATGGTTACCCCCTGTTTTGGTTTTGGGGGAAGTATGTAGTTAAGTTGTTTTCTTTCTTGAAAGTGATGCTGTTTGGGGATATTGGCGTTTTGAAATAAGTTGATTATTACTTGTTTCTGTTGGGGGGGTTTGGGGTGTGGATAATTGGTTTTTGTGAAATTGTGGGATGGTTCGCTTGCATGGTCTCTTGAAGACACTTATAATAAGGACTGAGTTTGATTTACTATCAATGCTTGATTTGGTGGTGAGAAGAGGAGTTGGTCGTCTTTAACTATAATATTGGTGGGTTTTGATTCATCTTAGCATCTAGATAGATTTTCTGTAGAGATTATGATCAGGATAAAGGATAAGGAGGCGTGAATGGTGTTGATCTTTCTTTTTTACTGTTATAGTGATTGGTATAAGACGAATCTTTATCTGCAATGAACAGTGACAATTTGTAATGCTTCAAGATGCCAGACCGAGCTACATTCTAATACTACAAGGAAGAGATTGCTACAGATTCAACTGCAGATGGGAAATTCCTCTTCAACCAATTAAGTCTTGTCGATAGACAAGCTTGCATAACGTCTGATTCAGGAGTCCAAATATCAGCGCCATGGTATACTATTGACTCCAAGTTAGTACATATTACAAGACATTTGAGGAAATGGAGAAAATATACTTACCACCCTCATATACATGAAGTTCAGTCTTAACCCCGCACTCCAAGAGCCTCATCGCGTAATTGATATCCTCATCTCTAAATGGTTCAGCAGTGCCCACATCAATAAAAGTAGGTGGAAGCCCCGAAAGATCCTTCATCCTAGCCGGAGCCGCATATTCCACATCCTTCAATCCATCTCGCTCCTCTTTCGGACCAAGATACCATTCCCAAGCCACAATATTCAACTTCCCCGTCCAAGGCCCATCATCCATCATCTGCTCGCTACTCACCGTGATCATCCTATCATCCAACATCGGATAAATCAACATCTGCGCACAGAATTTGATTTTCACCTCCCGATCTCGAGCCAGTAGAGCAATCCCCGCCGCAAGACCACCACCTGCGGAGTGACCAGCAACCATAACTTTCTCAGGATCAATCCCAAGTTTCGGGATTCTCTCCACAAACCACTCCAAAGCCGTCCAACAATCCTCCAACAACGCCGGATGTTGATGTTCCGGCGCGAGTCGATAATCCGGACTCACAAGCACCGCATCCAACTGCTCCACCCAGGGGAACGTGCCATCCAGCAGGAAATCCTGCGTCCCTAAAATCATACCTCCGCCATGCAAGTAGAAGATTCCTGGTCGGAGGCCGGTGGTTTTCTTCTTGGTGGGTGCCACGATGGTGAGTGCGATGGTTTTTCCGTCTGGTCCTATAAGCTGGTCTTCTTTGTGGGAGAGATGGGGATGGTTCCGGAAGTTGTGGGTGTGGTTTGCTAGCGCGCCTAGGGAGGTTCGCATCATTGGGAGGGTTGAGAGGGTTGGGGCTGGGGGTGCGGGATCGAGGCCTTGGGCTTTGAGGGTGGGGGCGATTTGAGGGTCGTAGGGGACGGGTTTTGAGGATGTCATTTTCGAGAGATTTTCCGTTGTATTTTTTGGTTTTGTTGGTTTGGTTTTTGATTTTTGGTTGTTGGTGTTTTGTGGATGTATTTGAGACTCGAGATTAAGATACGGTGATAAGACCTCTTTTATATCTGGATAGTGCTCGGGTCGGTTCAATTTCAGAAATAACGGATTTGTTCACAAAGTCCGTGATTCCCGTACGGAGGTAAGTAAGTATCGATATATAACCAACTGAGATGTTGGTGATCCTTGTTGTTGGTATTTGAATCAAACCCCCTCATTTGAAAACTAACGCCGAACACTGTCGTGTAACCTCAAAAATTGGAACTTTACTCAAGAGATTCTGTTCTTTGATGCGGTCTGAGAGGCATATGAGTTTAAGAATATGTACCTCCTTAAAAGAAGTCATGACCACCATATCCGTGTCTGCCTAGATGAAGATATCGAAATGCGGAGTGTGCATCTTTACCGAGGCATTCGGTTCCCCTTTTCCGGTGAATCCATTTTAATTGTACTCAAGTATTTATCAGCTTTTGGAACAGAAGCACGTCCATTATCTTGGTAGGAGAGTGGGGGTCTTGAATACAGACCTTACTTAGGCCCGTACAGTAAGTATTTATGCAAAAACTCCAAGAAATTCGTATAAATTGGTTTGACCATATCTAGTCTTGTGAAAGTTATATGTAGGGTTTGAGAAGATATTGAACCTGGGGCATTGCAATTGCCAATCATTTCTCCACCCTTGGCGTTGTGATGTTTTTTGACGCAGTGAGTTGATAACTGACAATGGAAGTGAGAACTGAAGAAATGGATTGAGACTTGTATGGAACTACATATAGCATGGACCGCTGTCAAGATTTATGGCTCCATAAGAATTCACAGAGGATTGAGTCAATTAAATGAAAACTTGATTAGAGAGAGTGACAATAGAAGTGAAGCTCGTCGACACACGTGACATTTAGCTCATCAGTCCAAGCCTGTCCTCAAAGTAATCGGTTACCTTCTATTTCAATTCATTTAAAGAAGATAATCATCCGAAAACTTGTCAAGAAGGTTCCTAGATTGAACTTGTATATCCAATAAGTCACACTTCTTTATCCCCTACTCCGTATTCCTCTCATCAAAAATACTATTGATCCGTGCACAGCATACCTTTAAAAAAACGTTATTTCTAAACAAATATACCAACTATTTAGACACTATAACTCTCACATATTCTATTTGCTATAATAGTGGAAATAATCTTTCTCAGATTACCAACGCAAAGAATTCTTAGATGTACGCAGAGTTATGCCGAGGTCTCGTACTTTCCCACTCATCTCTCTATGTGATTGGTAAGGTCGTAACTTTGATCTTCAAAGCAACAAGTCAATAAGTCGGCCCGCCACATGAGCAAGTATACTATTTGCGCTCTTTTTGATTCGCTACATGGCATCAAACTAACTACCTCTAAGCAAGGGTTCTAAGCAAGGGTAGATGACTTCAAAAGGTCAGCAAAACCAGCTCAAACTTCCTCAATACATAGCATTTTTCGTAAAAATCGTATCATCAACGTTTCCTCATACACAACTTAGATTGAAGGCTATATACCAACTACATCGCCAAGCACACACACGCTTCACGGGTTCATGCGTCGTGAAATATTGCTAAATTTATGCATGCACCAACCCCAGATTTGATTTGTAAAGACGGTGGTTTTTGTTCTGTTCCCGTTGTATTTGCAGAAGATGGATGCATGGTAGCTTCAGGATGTGCGGGGAGGGTTAACTCTTGTGACTTGACCAAGGTGCTGTGGTGATGGGTAAGCGCAGTAGTAGTAATTTTTCTCTCTGTTATGCTGAGTCATGAAGCCTAAAAACACATATGCTTGGCTTTGAAAATTTGTATAAAAAGAGCAGATCCTCTGGGATCTTGAGTATTCAAAATAGATATTCACAATAAACCTTCTGGGAGTGCTCCCATTCCTGCATCAAGCTATGTTCTCGCTTAAATCCATCACCCAAGTCCTTTTCGGGGGTTTGGCAATTGCAACGACAGCAACCTACATCAGCATCACAAACACAACCAGTACGTTGTAGTTTTACAGTTCTATCAGTCATTAGACAATCTAACACCACATAGCACCAACCGAAATAGGCGTCCTTCTCTTCCCAGGATTCACAGCCACCGACATCTACGGCCCCCTCGAATACCTAACCTTACTCTCATTCTCCACAAATCTGTATCTCGCATTCATAGCTAATTCTCCCGAATCCCGTATCAACCAAGCCCACCGCAATGAACCCTTTTAACTCCTCTTTTGGCCACTCGACTCTTCCCACCCAAACCTTTGCCAACGCACCACCTCTAGATATCCTCCTCGTCCCCGGCGGACTAGGAACTTGTGCCCCGCCTCCAGCTCTGGATAGTGCCATAGAATTCATCCGTGCCCGAACACCCGAGCTGCAATATTTACTTACTGTTTGTACTGGTGCGGGCCTTGCAGCTCGGACAGGAGTCCTGGATGGAAAGTTTGCTACGACCAATAAATTGGCTTGGGAGGAGACTACCGCGTTAGGTCCTAAGACGAAGTGGGTTGCGAGAGCTAGATGGGTGGTTGATGGGAATGTGTGGACTAGTTCGGGTGTTACTGCGGGAACGGACTTGATGAATGCGTTTGTGGAAAAGGTGTGGGGTGGAGATGTGGCGAAGAGGTTGAGTGATGGGATAGAGTATACTCCTCATTCTGATGCTAGAGTTGATCCGTTTGCGGAGTTGTATAAATTGAGTAGTGTTTATGATGAATTTCTGGGGGCTGATGGGACGATGGAAGGTCTAGATGAGTTGTAATTTAGGAAGGGCGTGGCGTATTGTAGTAAGCCTAGCTTACAATTATCCTATCTTCATTTTTCGATCATGCTTATGTCCACAAGCAAGATTGATGTTTATAGATTTTTACAATGTCGGTTCCTTCAGTGACACAACCAAAACCCATCTTACAAAGACAAAGTAATTCATGAGTGCACAATTAATATCTATCAGCAGCCCATTTGTTCACGAAACCATCTACGTGGCGATACCTTGTCTCGATATCAAGTTTACTTGCTCTCTCGGCTCGGGATCAGGTGCTCGTAGTAAGCGATGTTCTCACTGATCTCTCTCAAAACAATTGAGACAATTGAATCAGCAGATACAAAAAGATACTTTTTTTTCGAAGAGAAAAATAATCTCTCGAACGATCGACCTATGATTTGTTAATCACACACCCGTCCATAGTTGATGCACGACAGGATACTTAACTGGGTTTCAAGAAACAAGCTATTTTGGGAAGGTATTATCAACCGGAGGCCACAATCAACCAGCGATCGTTAGTAAGTAGAAGAACAAGAGTGGGGGCTCGGCTAAAGCCCCAATTAGTACAATGAGAACTTAATCAGCAATTGATCCCACCTGTAGCGGTGAATAATTCGACTTAACACCACCAACTAGATCGCCGTTCCAAAGACCAAATCCAAGATAACGATGAGTTCACCTTCCTGGCAGGACATTGCCGCAGCAAAACAAAAGGAAAGAAAAGACAAAATACCCTTAGTCTGGAGAATCCCACCATGTGTATTACCTCATTCCAAGATCCCAAATGTCCAAGACTGGCCCAAAACATCGGGCTTCTTCACTGAAAAGGAATTAGAGATCACGGAATCACTAGCCCACGAGGTCGTCTCCAAAATTGCAACCAGACAATGGACTTCTCAAGAAGTCATGGAGGCGACCTGCAAAAGAGCAGCCGTTGCCCAGCAGCTGCTAAATTGCATCACCGAGATTCGCTTCGAGAGAGCGATTTTGAGAGCGAAAGAATTGGATGCCTATCTTGTACGAGAGGGCAAGGTTATTGGACCGCTTCATGGTCTTCCGATAAGTTTCAAGGACCAGTTTAATATCAAGGGTGTGGATACTTCTGTGGGATACATCTCATGGTGCGACAGAGCAGCGACCGAAGACTCGACTCTCGTCACATTACTATGTAATGCTGGGGCAATTCCATACTGCAAAACCAATGTACCAGCAACCCTCATGATGGGTGAGTCAGTGCACAATGTTTTTGGTCGCACCGTCAACCCACGGAATCGACACTTGACAACCGTGGTTATACGATCCACAAACCCTTCCCATACCCTGGCGAGAAGAAGAAGAAAAGCTGCCAAAGAAACTCTGTTTTGGATTCGGTATACATGATGGGCAGGTCGCTGCTACTCCACCACTTGGTCGAGCCATGGATATCACTCGGAAGGCCCTCGAAGCTGCCGTACATGAGGTAATTGAATTTATCCCAACCGAGCACCATGAAGCTGCCGAGATAATCAGCAAGATATGGGGGGCCGATGGGGGACAAGAGTTCAGACGTGATACAGATGCTTCAGGCGAACCTCTCCACCCAGATATCGAATCATGGCTGGGACATAGTGCAGTAGCCCAACCCATGACCGTCTTCGAGACTTGGGAGAATCAACATCGTCGAACTCTCCTTGCGACTTCTTGGCTTGAAAGATGGCAAGAGTCCAAGTCCCAGACTACGACCGGAAGACCGATTGATGGCTTAATTATGCCATGCACTCCGTTTCCTGCTATTCGTCATAATACAGGTTACCCAGTACGTCAAATATTCCGTTTTGTGAAATCCAAGTACTGATTTGCTATAGCACCACTGGGGAGCCCTATCACCCCTTCTAGACCTGACCACAGGTGTGTTTCCGGTGGCTCAGGTTGACCTTGAGAAAGACGTTGTTCCTACGGATTGGCAGCCATTGACCGATCTCGATCAAGAGATCTCGGACTTTTGTAAGTTTCCCAACCTAAAATTCTGCAAGATCTTCTCTAATACATCCTCGAATTTCAGATGGAGGGCCGCAAAATCACGAAAATGCGTTTATTGGATTAGCGGTAATTGCTCGTCGACTAGACGAAGAGAAAGTTGTAGCTATGCTTGAGCTTATCTCAAAGGCACTTATAAAATGGCAAGGGAAAGCCTATGATCAATCTCCTTCGCAACCAAAGGTTGGTATCTGATACTCGTATTTGATTGAATTTTGAAGATCTGGCTCATTCCATTTTTCCACCATAGGTAGAACCAGAACATAATCCATCACATGACCTACAATAACCACATTCACCTAACCCCTTCTACACTTTAATTCCACAAATAAGCTTTTTTCTCCACCATGCAAAAGTAGTAAATCCCGCAGCGCGCCACCTCCAAGTGGCTCGTTGGTAAACGTGGTCTCATTGCAAGGCAAAATATTAGTCTATAGTAGCTATTCCCAAAAGAATAGTGTGGCTAGCTGGTCCTACCCGCCGAAACCACTCTAGAAGAGTGGAAGGTGCGGACTTTTTGCCGTTTTTTCTTCTTTTTTTGCCCTTTTTCTCTTTTATCTCAGTCACGGTTTTTTTGAAGTGTTTTCTTGGGGGAGCTGGTGGTTGCGTAGAAGGGTAGGGGCTGGTGGGGGCTTCCGTCAGTGTGTGAGGGTTGTAGTACTCGAGTAAAGAATAGGGAGGTGACAAGACAACACTTAAAATTACTAGGATTTCTTTGCGATATACTTTTTAATATTAAGAGCGTGTAATAATACTAGCCTGTATATTTATACCTAGGAGTAGATCGCGCTAGTACGCAATAAGCATGCTACGCAAGCTAGTAGTAAATGACTAAACGATGTACTCTATATTTGTAGCAAACAGTTGATGCCTTGTCTCACTCTAAATAGAGCTTTTACATTGGCCAAAAGGCATTGTGTTTCACACTCTTCTCAAGCAGAAGACATTACCACAGGAATCATTAGCAGCAAACAGTAGAGAATAACAGCAAAGACCGTCGTCAGTAATGGATTTCATGACACATAACAACGAATATGCTACTCCGTAAAAACACAATTTTAAATTGCCCATACCCACAGCTATGCCCGAGCTGACTATCTGCAAGAAATTCTTGCCTCGCCCAAAAACGCCAATATACCTCTCTTTCCCAAAGCCATGCAGAAAATGCCCATCACCAACCATCACCACCAACCACCTCATGGTTCCTCATGAGCGATTTGTAGTTCATCAAACTCGTCCAGCAACTCATTCATATCAATCTGCGGCGTCTCATCTTCTTCTCCATCATCAGTCTCCACGACACTCATAGCTTCAGCATCCTTCTTAGCTTGTTGCTGAGCCTTATAAAGTGCCATAGTAGCACGCAACTCGGCATCTTCTTCCACATCTCGTAAGAACATCTCGTAATCGTTATCCATCTTAACTTGATCTGCCTTCTTTGGTAGCAAGTCCCCGTCATCTCTTGCCATACGCTTGAGTCTCCAAGCACGGTTTTTGGACTTCCTCTTTCTGGCGTAGAATTTCTTGACAAGCAGGACGTCGGGAATCTGAGATGAGTACGTGTTTGATTCCTCTAATGCATCATACTGGGGACTGTTGAAGTTGGTTCCGGTTAACATGTATCCCATGACTGAATCTCCGGGATGTAAAACATTTCCAAGATGTGTTCGGGTGTAATATGTCTTGTCGTTTGATCCGAGATCTGATGCGCGAGCAACTGTTGCCTCTGCCAGCAACCATTTTCCCTTTTGTCCACCGATAGGCTCGATATCCATAACGACAAACTCCACCAACTCTTGTACGTCGGCAAGAGAAGTGAAAGGCGCACGCCAGTAAATGGGTGTACTGACATCTGCTGTTTGGAGTGTTTGTGGGTCGAGAATGTTAATTGTGGCACCAATCTTATAGCACAATCCCAGAGGAGAGATGTTTCCGAGATTTCTTGCTAGCTTTATAGGCAGTGCCACCAAATCGTCTTTGCAAATTGGAACCAGACTGACAGAGTATGAGAATTTATATGACTTGGTTGAGGTGTGGATATCCATGGAGATAAGTTCTTGGGATTTTTTGCTTTGGACTGGCGCAACCGAGTGTAAGAAGTCGACGAATTTCTCCGCCTGATTCCGGTGTGCATAGAAGAAATCTAAACCATCCTTGACTTCTTTGATGTTGATTGTGTCCTTGTGCGCACCGTGCTTGAGAATAAGTTGTTCGAGGTATAAGAAAGTTCTCTTGTGAGGAACCTTTTGTCGGACCTGTACGCATGCTCGCCAGGTGTTCGCAGTGTAGGATTTCGCGCAGTCAGGACATTGCTGATAAGCCACAACGTATTCCACCTCAAATGCCTGTTGCAGCACAACCCCCTCAGAGACGGAATCTTGAATGGTGAGCTTGACTTTGACTCTTCGAGAATGCGGCTCCGTCCAAATAAAACTCGCATCGATAATCCGGACTTTGTGTAAACCGCGCAACTTTTTCAAACAAAGCGCAAGCAGTTCTCGGGATTCGGGGGCTGCGACAATCCAACTGGTGGGGGGTAATAGCCATCGTTCGCAATCTCTGCAGAAATGAAGGGTCGCCTCGCGCTGAATTCCTCCTGATACATCTATCGTGAGTTTGACACAGTCGTAGCAGAGAGCGCCTGCAGATGTCGTTCCATCGATGGGAGCGCCGCAGTTGCAGCAGAGAATGCTAGAAAAAGAGTCAGATGCATTGACTTGCAGCAGCAGATCAAGGCTCTACTTACGTGGCATTCGTCTGCGCGCCCCTAATCTGAGGCGCGATGGACACCGGAGCATCAAGATCCATGGCCGACATATTTGCAGTGTTCACAGATATTCGCTTTCTCGTCGAGTTGTGGTGTTTGTGCTGGATCGATAAGAAAAAATTGCCCCGCGATTCTGATTACGACCGCACCAGGGAATAGCCGAGATAGGCTTAGCAATCTGAACGCCACTACATGTCACGACTTTGTAATCTATATATATCTAACATTAGAGCAGTGAATGTCACACTAAAACACCAATGAGCATTTCAAATACCATGGCTGTATTACTTACAGCTTAGATGTCAACCTGGAAGTGAGAAAAGGACTGGTCACATGACATGTCTGCTCAAGTTCATGCACGTGAATTACCCCACCATTATGGGTACATCTGGAAAGTTAAGAGTTTCTATACTGGCTTGGTAGGGTGTGCTTAAGAACGACCTCAGCACGAGTCAGCTAAGGAAAAGTTATCAAACATGGTTATTGGCTAGTTCAGTGAACCATAAGTGGGAACTTCCCCGATTAATCAATGGATACCATAGGTATTTTATGTTGTGATATTGGGTATGATGGCATCATTTCTTAGTTTCACCAATAGCGAAGGAATTCCCCTGGAATACGGATCGATTTACAGAATCCATTCTTGGGATTTGTTCCTTTTGTTACCGGATTCCTAATTTGACTACTATCTCAAGTCGTTGCCCGCCAATAAAGTTCAAAGAGTTGTGAGGTGTGTTACCATGTGTAACTCTCGTTTATCATTTTCCCCTTATATTTACCCCAAACAGTGGAGAGAGGGGTCGTTGAGTAAGCGAGACGTCACCTTGCCGAAGACGCAATATCTACCTAAGGAAGTGTCTATGCGGGTACAACCATATAAAGAACTGACACTGCCTCGTTGTACTGTAAAACTCCAACTCCACCTTTTCGAAATCTACAATCATGGCTCCTTCTGCTACCGAAACAATCACCATTCCAAGCCAAACCGAGACACCAACGGTAAAGCTGACCTCCAATTCTGGTCCATATAAGGAGTTAGCTCCAATTGGTTACGAAAAGTCCGCCGAGGAAGAAGGCAGTCATCCTGCCAAAGTAAGTAGTCAGGGAGACGACTCCATAACCTATCTAACAAGTGAACAGTATCAGAATTATCTACCGCACTGGGGCAATGAGCTTTACCCTCCTCTTGAACGATACGAACACCGAGACCGAGGCATAGATGCTGATACAAAATACCCCGATCTACTCTCAGAGGGAGTCGAAGTCAATGACTTGACACCTACAATTGGTACTGAGGTCACAGGTGTGCAAATCAGCAAGTTGAGTAACGCAGGCAAGGACCAATTGGCAAGACTCGTTGCAGAAAGAAAGGTTATTGCATTTCGGGATCAGGACTTTGCAGACTTGCCAATTCCTGACGCCTTAGACTACGTTCGATATTTTGGGCGTCTACATAGTAAGACTTCTCCAAGGTTCTTTGCTCTTCTCGCTTGTTTCAGAACTCGATACTTTTTTCTCAATTAGTATTCTCTACTTCATGATGGCTTTAGCGATGATTTCAGAAGATAGTACTGACTGAGATTCTCAATAGTCCACCCAACCTCTGGAGCTCCAAAGGGTCACCCGGAGGTCCATCTAGTACACAGGGGCTTGGGAGATAAAACCGCACAAGCATTTTTCCAAACCAGAACAAGTTCTGTGGCCTGGCACTCAGACGTATCATATGAAAACCAGCCTCCCGGAACAACATTTCTGTATATCTTAGATGTCCCCGAAGCAGGAGGCGACACTCTTTTCGCAAACCAAGTCGAGGCCTACAATCGACTTAGCCCAGCTTTCCAGGAGAGACTTCATGGATTGAAAGCAATCCATTCTGGAATTGAGCAGGTAGAAGCCTCGAGAAGTAAAGGGGGAGCTGTACGAAGAGAGCCAGTGACGACTGAGCACCCTCTCGTGAGAACACACCCTGCAACTGGGGAGAAAGCGTTATATGTCAACCCGCAATGTAAGTGTTTTGTATTTGCAGTCGCACCTCAATGATTACTAATGTGGCGTCAGTTACTCGAAGTATTGTTGGGTACAAGCAGGAAGAGAGCGATATGTTATTGGTAAGTCATATTCTTAGCATGATTGCAAGCTAGGCCAACACGTTCAAGAAATTCCTCTATGACCATATTGCATATGGAGCAGACTTCCAGGCCAGACTTAAGTGGCAAGCGAAAACCGTGGTTGTCTGGGACAATAGAACGACAAGTCACTCAGCTCTAGTGGACTGGAAAACGGGACAGAGACGCCATCTCGCTAGAATTGCTCCTCAAGCTGAGGCTCCATTTGAGACTCCTTTCAAGGCTTGAAGGAACTTTGGTCGTTTATTTTGAGATGCTCTGTAAGTCAGGCAATTCCCACACGTAAGAGATAAGTGAGCAGTCAAACAATGATACCAGGCGAACTTTGATGGGTATGCTGGACTTGGTGGAATATTGGCAGGGTTCTGTGAACTCGATGGGCCAAAGGGGAAAGGATAACTTCCTTGTCAGAAATTCAATCATTTTCTCTGCTTCAATTGGCGTATCAACAAAGCGATGATGGTGAGTTCTTGAATGAAGACAGTGTGGGAGTTTGGAGGTTTTAGCCTACATAACTCTGAGCCAAATAATGAAATGAAAAATGTGCCATTGTTTTGCTTTTTGTTAAATGAAAGATCAATTATTTCACAAAATAAAGACTGCCATCCTATTGGTTGAAATGATACAGGTCAGGTCAAGAACAAGAATATTGCATTAGGCTATGAATTTACTTTTGCATGCTAAATCTTACAGTATCTTAATACTTGGCCTATGAGACATGTAATGTTCACAGTGCGAGTATCAAAAAATGGCTGATGAAAAGCACAGTATCTGTCTCTGAATTTTCCAGACATAAACACCCCTCATAAAATCCAAGCTACCCACACCCGACTCACTCAAATATCTCTTTTCGTCTCTCATAGTATTCATATATTGATGCCCATAATTGATCGCGGCCCGGAACAGGACTGCCCACTCCAATCTGCCATATAAAATACTCAAAATCAAATTCGCCCCAAAGGATACTAAAAACAGGGTCATCGAGATCATCGAGAGCAGTCTCCGTACATCTCTTAGTATATTCCTTTGCTAAAGCCTCGTCCTTGATATCTACAAGACGTAGAAGTTTGAATAGAGAAGTTTCCTCCCACATTGTCCATTTAATATCTCCACGATATTCAAGGCCAAAAAGCTCCGCGACAACCAACTGCAATGAGTTAGCGTGATTTTTAATTGTTCAATATAGAGTTAAGCAATGAGCTAGTTCATCGCTAGTATGAAATAGTAGTTGTTAAAATGTTACATACCGTGAATCCCATTCTCTCCATCCAAGTATTAACAAGTACATACAGCGGAACTTCCTCCTCACTTTTACTTTCCAATTTAATTGGCAATGGGGACCGACTGAAAGTGTAGTAGATATTCTGGAACTTTCGTGCTGCCAGAGACAAACAAACTGCGGAAACAGGATTGAGGTATCCCATAACTTTAATGATAACCTCGGTCGGAAGTTGACTTAGGCGGCTATTTGATTCAGCCTTTGGTACCGTAAGGGAGCTTGCATCTTTGACTAATTCTGAAGAAGGCTCATCTTCCTTGAAGGAGAGTTCTTCGAGTGAAATGATGACTTCGTTGTGATATGGGTCTGTGGGCTCACTTGTTGATTGCGCGGTAGTATGGATCGTGGAGAGGGCGAGGTTGTCTTCCATGCTTTGAGATGCCATTTGCTCCTCTTCTGCTGGTGTAGGCTTGTCGCATGAACTTTCTCCCTTTGCCATGTTTTGTGGTTGAGTCGTTGAGAGGTGGAATGGAAGATCTGGTCAAGATCTCTGATGTTAATAGAGACCTGCGTGCTTGTAAGAGACAAGATACCAATAGCCCTGAGGGTGCGGTTGTTGCCGGAGGAAGGTTGTAGAGGATCCGGTACAGCTTGGCTCGTAACTACCGTTTTGTGTGCAGGGTAAAAGTTGGTTCATTAATACTTGTACATAAGTGTTGTGCTGGGTCTACTTTCTCTTTTGCTCCACTTCCTTATTTGATCCACTTATAGTTCTGCTGCCTAAATGCTTCATGTCTGCCTAAACCTTACACTCTTTATATAAACACCTTAGATAGCTACCTTTTACAATACAATCAATTCTCCATGACCTTCAGTACCCAATACCCTTTCAACCCAATAATAAGATACAGCGTTGATGTACAATACTTGAGGAACTAGCTCTGCTAGCTAGGCCAACTCCCCTGTCTGTGCTTACACCCACCCCCCCATGAAATTTTGCAGTTGCTGAAGCCACTTCCCTGGATGACAAGAGCAACCTCTGGTCATTCACTATAACATTATCACAACAAAAACAAGTTAACCATAATAACTCTAAAACTTTCAAACTTTCACTAGGCTACAGTTTGTGTCAAACAGTACACAGAGTATTTCACACCCAAATTTAAGCTTATAACATTACCATAGTCACACAAGCTTATGTCAAACCCCACAAGACCTCCAAAACCACTTAAGGTAGACTACAGCCAAAAAGATTAAAGCAATTCCTGGGGTTTGTTATTCACTTGAGACCATTAGGCTCTGCTGTATAGGGTGTGTGACATATTACTAAGAATTAAGCCATCTGCGACTTTTATTTTTAGCACACGTTACTCTATTAATGCTTAAGGCTTTCTACTAAAAACAGTAACTATCTTATACCATTAGGATATCTTCGTAAAGTACAGCACCACATTCATATAGATTCATGTTTCACGAGAATAGGGACCAGTCCAGTTTTCATAAGTCTTTTGTAAAGAGATTTCTGTAGCTAAGCCAGTGTTCAATAACTACCGTATAAATCCATTCTTATCAACAATAAGTTTTCCGTATGTGCCAATCATGAATTCGTAGCTCTGCACTCTATGTGCAAAGGGTGTTGTAATTGACCCATGTATTCCTTGTCTGAAAAATTCAGTTGCCCCCATTTCCTCCCCAACCTCATGGAAGTCATCACCATAGGTGCGCTTGTAAAACTTCCCAACCTGCTTAATATAACTGACGTAAGCAGAACAATATGAGCCCACCTCATAGTCCGTATAATTCCACAACATGCTAGGGGTCTCAGTTATGTCGACCATGAATTTCTTGTCATGCTCCTTGTCACGCAGGACCCAATTCTCGACCTCTATGCTCTTTTTATAATCTGCATGATGGGACTGTTCCACCAGCTGTAGTGTTTCAGGATGATATTTCAGATATCGGTACTCATCAAATGCCCAAACTACCAGAGTGAAACCTCTCCTCTTCAACCAGTTCTCCAAGAGTTCATGAAGACCAGGGGGTTCACCACATAGGAAGCGTGTCGAAATTCTGATCGTCCCATAAATTTCCCAGTGTATACGGTAGAACTTTCGTGCTGTAAGACCTAGACAAACAGAGTGATCTGTGTCAAGCCGTTCCATGATTGAATGAGTAGCTCTTCAGGTAGGGCATGGAGCGTTGGTTTCTTTGTGTGCTGAGTGACTTGCAGGGCGCTTTTGTCAATCTCTTTCGTAATCTGCGTCTAAGGTATTAGTCTATGTGCTATGGCGGTCTCCTTAAACGAAGGGGCGGAATCGAAGAGGCCAAGTACTTACTGTGTGGTGATCATTTGATGATTGAGAAACCTCCCCTAGCATCTGGTTGGTGTTTCCTTTCGGCGGCGAAGTAATATTATCCTCCATTGCTGTTCTCGGTGGGATTATCTGATGACGAAGGGAGATGCTGTCATAATCCAGTCGTAATCAAGTCTGAGGTGTACTGCAAAGATACAATGAGTGTGTGGGACAAATGGCTGACACTCAATGACAAACAAGGAAAGGCAAGGAAGTAAAGCTTGATACAAAGTAGATAGCTCTACTATAGCCAGAGGGATAACTCCACTGCGTGAATGGACATCTGTACAACGTGCTACGCTGAGAAAAGCAATTCACTTATGTTAGAAAAAGAAAAAGAGAGTACTAGTACCCCAAGTGTATATATTAACCTAATAAGAAAATTACTAAGTTACTGAATTTAAGTATTAATTGTCGTACTAGATTAAAGCTAATAATATTACCTTCCTTCGCTATACCTATTAGAGCTATCTTAAGAGTTATAGATAATCCATACTTAAGAGAGGTCATATAAGACATACGTATAAAAGAATACATTATAGGGATTTCGGCGTTATTACTAGTTAAATAGCTAGAGGGGGATTCCGGTAAGCTGTAACGTAATAAGTTTCTAGTTTTCTACTTCTGCCTGCTGTGAGAGGCCAGACCTTGAACAGCTCAAAGGTGTGGTTTCGAATATTGAATTAAGAAGTGCGTGAAGACTACATACATGCGAGCTCTTCCTCTATATATAGAGAGAGGAAGAGCTTCCTGAATATTCCAAGAAACTTGCAAGAAACTTGAATGACGAATACATGATGTCAGAAGAACAAAACAAGAAAGTGTGGAATGGTGGAAACCTGTTTGGCGGTGGGGTAATGGCCAGTGCTAAGCGGGGACTTTGGTCAGTGCTTAGCGAGGGCATGGCCCGAGCCTCCATCATGGGTTCCAACCCTCACACCTGCCTACTAAAATAACTCCACGTTTTAACTATTTGTAGTAGAAGTGTAGTATATAGTAGCCTTTTCATTGTATATATATCGGATTTATTAATCTCTTACTATTCCTAGAGAAACGTAGCCTCTAAAATATATATTAATTTACCTAATTTCAGTAGTAAAGAGACATGGCTACCTAAGAAAGAATACTTATTATATTAATAACTTAAGACATGAATTAGTATATCACGGCTAACTTAACTATGGTTTCCCTGGTTTTTTATCTCAAGTTAAGAAAAGGAAGATTGGGATGTTATCTAAGTCCTTTTATATATAAGTTAACTTTATAAAATAATCTTAAAGAAATAACTTGTATATTAAATTTCGCTATTAATTCATTAATCCCTAGGCCTAAATATCTAGACCTAGGCTAGTATTAGTAACCGGAACCTAAGTAAGGTAATCCTTTTACTAAACTATTATCCCTTCTACAAATGAATTTATCTCTCGTATATACTCCCCTCTGTATATAAGTCTTCCGCAATCACTCCACCCTCTCACATGTATACAAACTATCATGATCTTAAATTCCCAACTTGTATCCTCAGATTCATCCACTACGTGCTTAGTGCGAGAGTTACACACCAAAGTTCCAAAGTTTAATTACAAAGCTGCGGGTAACAACCCCCTAACCATCATCCACTCAGATGTAAATCAGTACTTGAACTTAAACATTGTTATCTAATGATAGCACCGTTACAGCCCGCTAAACTCACATTACCTGTACCTATGGCATTAGACTCATAGAGAGTTGGTGATGTATTGACAGTATTGTAATCTTACTATCACAGGTATTTACACATGTATTTAAAGATTGACATAGTGTAGTAGAAGGGATGGTCTCAATTCGTATTTGTTTTAGCCTAGAACAAGGAATGTCTTTCGCAGCTTTAGTATCTGGTAATAAGTGCCCAAGAGAAAAGCGTGATACTTGAGTACCTAGGTAATTGGACCCTTAAGGCTAGTACGTTAATTTCAAAGTCATGTGACCCGTTTCACCAAAAGAAAAGAAACCAACGATTTCAATATTATTTCATTATTTGCATTGTTCAATACATTCTTGGGGTTGATTTTGTCGTGTTAATTACTAAAGAACTTAACTTAATTTACAATAGAATTCTTGCTCAAAGGAATGTAGGTATAACATCCAACTGTTTATTTTTTGGTCGATCGAGGGCTAGCTTCGCTTTGCGAAGTCGAGCATACCCACGTCTAGACAGACGAGGACTGTCTTTGACAGGAGTTTCTGTACTATCCATCGTCGCTGTTGCTATCTTGGGAGTGGTCGTAATAGATGACCTTTTCGTAACATTCGGCGCTTGAGTAGAATTTCGTGGAGCTTTAGTAACAAAAGAATCCCCTGATAAGGAAGAAGTAGTTTCCTCCTTTAGGACCGCAGTAAACTTCGGTGCTATTATTGGGGCATCAAGATCATCGTCATCAGATGCCGCTTCAGCGTCGTCCAGAGTTGGATCAGGTTTCACGTCGGGGTCTGATTTGATGAATTTGGATCTTGACGGACTGTATACAGGGGTCGCCGACGATATATGGGTGCCAGGTTTTTGGAAGCCAGCTGCCGCACGGGTCGTTGCATTAATTGGACCATTTTTCAGCTTCAGCAATGAAGAAGCCTTTTTTCTTGGGCTATCCATGAGCCCATGTAGCGTTATTCCAAAATACGGGAGGACCTCGTCGTTGCTGTCGTTCGAGTCCGCTTCCTTGGGCTTCTTTCCAACAAGAGTCTCGAGGGCGTTTCTTTGTGCCTTCGACCGGTTTTCTGTCTCTATCTTACGCTTGACGTTGTCCGTCATCTTTCCTGCAACGGGTCGAGAAATCGAATTTATAGCGTCGGCGTTCCGAGCTTTGACCAGTCCCTGCTGCCGTTTATACTCGGCGGCGTGGAGATGAACGGTGAACTGGTGTGCTACGGTCAGGAATTCGTCTTCGACCATACGGTACTTGTCATCGTTTTCCATGCCATCACGCATGAACCTGCCGGAAATCAATTGATATCCAAGAAAGAGGCTGCTATATCGTACTTCTCTGGCGGGGGTTCTGGTGGTGGGGATGTCGATGCTGCTCGAGGTACTAGATCAACTCAGTAAAGATCACAACCCTGTTGACACGACATACTGTTGTTCTTATGAGCGTTCCTCCCAGATGGAGACCTCACAGCATCGCTATCGCCTTCCGACTCCGTTTTCTGTCGTTTTTGTCGTCTTACTGCCGAAGTTGAAGTCGTTGCCGTTGCTGTCCTGTTTTGACCCCGCGATGCAACTATGGGAGTATTTTGCCAAGGGAGCTTCCGTGGCATGGTTTGGCGGGAAGAGAGAGAATTCTGCAGTGCAAAGTAACTATTTGGTGGTGAGTGTATCCATAAAGGGGGTGGTAGCAAAGGCGTGAGAAGTAGAGTATGGCGAATTAGTTGATTGATATCGCGTCAAGTTGTCGCGGTCGTTGGGAAAAGCATTGCCCGAACGCGGATTTCGGGATTTCAGAGACTCGGGGGTGGCATTAGCTGATTGTGGGGTTGCATGGTCACGTGTATCCGCAGCCGCATTCTCTACGCACACCCCCCATAATCTAAATATATATATAGCAGCGCTCAGGGGTCGCCAAGGTCATTGGGAGGCAGGCGCAATCATTTCTCATTACTTCTTCGCTCTTCCATCCCAAGAGTCGAGTCACCTGTCATCCGACTCATCTGCAACTACTGCAGCCAATGAAGACGCTTGCCCATCTACCATTGGGACCCTCCAATCGAGATCTGTGTCAATACGGCTTCGGCTTCGTATGCACTGATCTGGATTTCCAAAGAACAGATAACTCACAAACCCCCGTCACTATTTCCCAGTATTGGTGGCTCTCTTGCTCGAAGCCATAGGTGGCCATTCATTTCATTCCTTTGAAGAGAATCACTGTGCCTTGGCCAGTTGGTGGTTTGAAACTATCTTGGTTGTTTCTGTCTTGAATAGTCAACATCAAGTACGCTAGTTACTTGGCCTTCCATGTACTCGATTCCCTCTGTGTCTTTGTTTATTTGATATTGCGGTTTGTTTGTTACCTCGTCTTTCTCCATCGATTCAGTGATTGACAATTGGCAAAAGGGAAATCCGGAGAGCGTGAATACTAGCTCAATGGATGCCCAGAATGTACCAAGCCAAGAGCTCTCAAGCCAGAGGTCATCAGCCCAAGAAAAGATAGAGGAAGGATATTCGAAATCGTCAACTAAATCTACCAGATCGAAAGAGTCGGCATCCGGATCAGCCCCTGATGAGATCGATAACGAATCTAATATCGGAACCTTGACCAGGCCTGCGAATGCACCCGATCCCTCCCAGCTATTTTATCTCTCCCTGATCGAGGGGCGTTGTCGAACTCAAGCAAAAGAACACATCAATTCTGGGAGACACCGTGATGATCTGGTGCCCGAGGACCACCCTGAGGTGACAGCTTTCGCCGAACAACTATTCAACGAGTCTTATCGAGAGCTTATTAAGATTGGATTCATTCCTCAGGAAGTCAGTTTTCCAGATATCAAAGAGCTGCGACGCTATCTGGCCACCTTCGACAACAGGCTTAATGACATTGTCAAGAGACAACCTTCTATATCATTTGCTGACAGCAATTTTCGTGCCATTGAAAGCTACCAGGACTATACGCTGAGCGAATTTGGGGAAACATCGATTTTCGAAAGCTCACAACCCCAGGCTCTCGTGACGCTTCCCGGAGATCTATCAGCCTCCCCTCTTCGATCGCTTATGTACCCCACCAACGGACGACACCAAGAATCTACCTATCACCGGAAGTTCGAAGAAATCTGCCTTTTGGGCAAGGGAGGATTCGGCCAAGTCTTTCGGGTACGTCACATTCTGGATCAACAAGAATATGCTGTGAAAAAGATACGCGTTTCTGCGAGTCAACTAGCCGCAATTCACAATGAATTTCAGCTACAGGACCTTCTGAACGAGCTTCGTGCTCTGGCAAAGTTGCAGCATCGGAATGTAGTTCGCTATTACGACAGTTGGTTAGAGCAAAGCGATGTTTCGAGTCGAAGTATGGGAACTCGGCAGCATCTGCTAGATGACCAAGAATATGACTCGAAGTAAGTGTCAACCATAGTCACTGGTCAGTGGGAATGATCTCGTCTGGCTAATTTAGAGATACAGATCAAGTGAGACAGACTTTACCTCTTCATCGGAAAAATCTATTGAGTCAGGTTTTCAGAGTCTACAAATTGGACAGCTCGAGGTAGAACTGAAAAGAGAGGAGAGGAAAAAACGAAGAAGCTCCTTCCTAAACCTCGAAAACAATTACGATGTTGTTTTTGAAGACCCCAACTCACCGGCACTTGGATCAAGCCGACCAGAAGAAGCGTCAACAACACCCAATGGCGCCTCGCTATTTCTCAAACCCAGTGAGATGTCAGATGATGATGAAGATATCGAGGAGATCGAGCGAGCTGCAATGAATCCACAAATGATGAAAAATGAGAAAGACTGGGTCATCTTCATCCAAATGGCACCATATCCCATTACTCTTGAGGATTACGTCTGGTCTGAACAACAAAAGTCTCAGACTGTTCGACTCCAACATTGTTTTCATATCCCAAATACTGCCCGTATTCTGCTAGAGATTTTAGAAGGGGTTGATTACATTCACAGTCATCAAATCGTGCACCGAGATTTAAAGCCAAGCAACATCTTTTTGTCAGTTTACACTGGAAAGTCACCACCGGACGGTTCAATCAATATTACATCATGCAGAGACTGCGGCAATGCGTCGTCTACGGTTCCCCAAACATTTGTAACTCCGCATATTGGAGACTTTGGGCTCATAGCAAAACTAGATGAATCTCCCCCGGTACATGATAGTGAATCATTTCGACCATCGCCCTTCGCAGTTCTCTCCTCTGTTGCATCATCCAAGCAGCCAGGCACTAAATACTATCGGGCCCCAAATATTGACAGCAAATCACAGTTTATTTGTCCGAAGCTAGACATATACAGCCTTGGTGTCATCGCATATGAATTGCTTGTCAAATTCGGTACCAAATCGGAGCGACATGTTGTTCTGGATAGACTCAGTAGTGGTTCGTTGGACGGCATGAACGGTCATGCAATGGAGAATGGAATTAAAGGGATGCTATGCTCAGAACGTGAGGCAAGATGGGATTCTGGAAAGGTTCGAAGCTGGCTTCTAGGGTTTGTCAATGGTGCATGAGATTGTTGTTGTTTGATCTACTTTCCAATTATTGATACCCACGAATCCGGCGATTGCAGCCACCTTTACTAAAATCAATTTCGTTAGTACCACTGTCACTGCCACTCTCAAAGGGACTTAGCTCACGAACTTGAAGTGTTGAGAAGCACGTTCCGGGCTGATGGTCCCACAAGTTCAGAGGAACTGGACTATCCAGTAGCGGTTTAGTCCATCGCACTTCTTTTACATTAGATCCATGTGATAGACAACTACCATCCCCTTTTCAATAGATAACAATCTTGAAATAACCCCCGGGCCCATAGCAATGGTTCCTAACTCAGCTCTCGGGTTGTCGAGCACGAGTTATCTTTTATTCATCCGTGCATTCCCCAATGCGTTTGATTGAGGAGAGCAGGTGATAGTTTTACAAACATCATTTGTTTTCGGAAACGCTTCTAATCTCCTATTAAGTGACAGGAACATTCCTGATACGCGATAATTACGTGAGGTTCCAGATTGAATCATGACACGCCTTTTGGCTACACTCCTCATTGAAGTCTTATGTTGGACAACCCGCGCCAGTGGTAAGTTGTGCAAAAAGAAGCGAGCCAAAGGGTCTGTGCTATACTAACAGAAGACCGCTTTTAGTCAATCGCCCCACGTGGAAATGTATCGCCACTCCGCCGTGATAGATTGCGGATTAGGCAATAGTTATATTGACTAGCAGAGATAGCAAGCTGTTTTTGCTCAGATGGGTCGTGGTTAGGCCACCTCACGCAGTCCGAAATGTTCCATGTGACGGCAGGAACGGTGTAGTCTAGCCACAACACAGCCCATGTGCTCCTTCCACAACATACAAACTCTATACTTAAGATGAGCGAGTGTCCCTTCAGTTTTCTTTTCTAACAAGCATCAACTTTCCTACGTTCTCTTTGCATCCGTGGACGTTATATTTGCATTCTTCAACAGGATGTTTCGCTTCGCCACCAAATCTTCTGCGAGTTCCGTCAAGCACACTGACTCCACAACTTCGCGAAGTCGATATGCAGCGTCTTGGAGGCCGGCCCTGAGGAGGTTGAAAGAAGGTCTGTTCTCTCGCGGAGGCGCCGCAAACAGCGTGCAGCCAGTCAGCCCTGATGTTTCCGAAGATCCATCAATCACCACATACTTGGACAGATTCGACAGAAGCTGTTATCGACCACTAGAAGACCAGAGGGCTACCTTACGACCATCAACAACCAGACAAAAGCAGAATGAGACGGTATCAAAGTTCTCGGAACAATCGGACAGTGATGAACAGCCAGAAATTGTTGACGGCATTGAGCTCCTCTCACAATCAGCAAAAGCGGCGCCAGGAAAGAACAACAGGAGAAAGACTGTACATGATTCCTCCATGCTACATCCTCTTAGATACAATCCAGCAGGGGCCCATGTGAAAGAATCCCCAGCTGAAAGCAGTATTCGAGCCAGACCATCCTCATACGCCCAAGCAACATCCGAAACGGACGAGTTTTCAATCGCTCTTCGAAAGAAACTGCACAGAACATCATTGGCTCAGGCAGAGAAACTCGCAGGACCAGAAGCCGCCTATATTCCTACTCATGCTGCCTCTGATTTCCAGAGAACTACTTCGGTACAAGAGAGAAAGCGCAGAACCGTTCCCAAGAAACGTGAGGACCCATTCGTCTCCGCCGTAGATGAAACGTCCGAAGACTTCCAGAATTTTATCAGAACTTGCCATCTCCAGCATCTTGTTGAACAAAGAGATTTGCGTCAAACCAGAATGTCCTTACCCATCGTGAAAGCCCCAAACATACTGACGACTACACCACATTCCGTCAAAGGACTTCAAAGCTTTGAGAAGTTCTTGAGAAATTCTCATATTCATTATCTCACCCAAGAAGATCGTGGATGGTGTCCGTCGATTGGGGAACTTGATGAGACTGAAGCAGACAGAATTGTTAAGAACGCACCACCTCCAAACTGTTTCTCAAGTCCTAAGGAACAAGGTCTATCAGTGAAATTCAGACGATCCGCTATGTCACCCAGACCAGCAAGCGTGGCTGGCAGCATAGTAGGGAAGGTAGGAGGATATATTAAGCCGACTATCACTGTCAATTCACGGCCCGTTCGAAATTCTATGATATTCAGGAAAACCAGGGACGTTGAAACTGCGAGTATTGATTCATACATTCGTCCTAGTAGAGTAAAGAGATGGTCCATGGCGGCTGCTGGGTATTGAAAAGGGAGTTTCTGAAGCATTTGGAGTTGTTTTTGGTGGGTTTTATCATGTAATTGAGATGTTTGATCATCACGCAACAGGACTTTATTTCTTTTGTCACTGTATCATATCGCTTAAGCTAAGGCATTGGGATTTGCAATTTGCGGGATTTTTGATGGTCATTTGAGGATGGAATTGATACAATCGAATGAATATCTTCTCGCGCTTTACAACTTCTTATCCTTAACTCTGACCGAGTTACTTATTTTCCTGATGTGAGGTTCAAAGTACTGCAAACGATATCTCACAGCCCTTTCTGGTGTCAAAAGTCATGACAAGCTCCCAGAAACCCCCGCATGCAGATTGAGCGACATGCACTAAATGAACAATATTCACTAAAACAGACTTTTGACACCCGTCGAGAGCTTGTTTTCACGACGCCAATGTGATGAGACCTTTCGGACGCCTCCGAGAAATTTCCCGGTGCCAGAAGCGGTAATTTGAAACGATTAAATCCACCCATGTACCCGTCTACAGCACGGTACCTGCAAAAAGGAAATCCAAAAAAAGAGGCCAGACAACCCTTTTTTCTCTGGATATTTAATCACCTCTACTTCATGTTCGCGCGTCCAGTTTTTCACCATGACTTCTATCAATATGCCACCTGAGAAGTCTTCTCAGGCTCGTACCCGCCCTATGGAGGTTCTGGTCTTGGGGTTGTGTCGTACTGGTACTCTTTGTAAGTTTAGTTTTTTTGGGAATTCACTCATATATCTCCCAACTGAGGTTTTTGATCTAGCTTTGAAAATTGCACTAGAGAAGTTGGGATATCCGACGTATCACATGGCCTCCGTGTAAGAAAGTCCCGGTCATGCGGCTAAATGGGTGCAGGCGATGCGGAGTAAATATGAAGGTGATGGGTCCCTATTGACGCGATAATTTTTCGATGGCTTGCTTGGAGAGTATGGTGTAAGTTTCCAACCATGAAAAATGAAAATGGGTGTAGTTTTGGGTAGGAATTGAAACTGATGGGGAGGTACTGTAGGCCGTCACGGATGTACCATGTGCATCGTTCGTTCCGGAACTTATTACTGCGTATCCCGATGCGAAGATTATTCTTTCGACGAGGGACGCGGATGGTTGGGTCAGGAGTATGGAGGGGACGATTGTTAAGAAACTTACGTATGTTTGTTCCCCTTCTGGTCACATGTTACATCCCTTCTCGCTTATCGAAATCATTCCCGCCCCGCCGCACCATAACCTCATCACAACATCTCATACACCCATCCACTAACACAACACCCCAAAGTTCCCCCCTCCGCAAACTCATAGTCTTCTTCCTCCCCTTAGAGCACAAGCAAATCCCCATTTATATGAACCTCTTCTTCAAATACCAGCTCTACAACGACTTCTCCCTCTACGGCAAGCGAGCATTCGAAGAACACAATCACATGGTCCGTAGAATCGCGCCGTCTGAGGGGTTTCCTTGAGTTTGAGGCTAAGGATGGGTGGGGATCTCTTTGTGAATTCCTTGGGAAGGAGAGACCGGATGAGGAGTTTCCGAGGACGAATAATGTTAAGGAGTTTGGGGAGAGGTCGAAGGCGGGGGCGAGGAAGGTGCTTGGTATTGCTGCGGTGAGGGCGGCGAAGATGTTAGGGGGTTGGTTGCTGGCTTTGTGGTTTTTGTTGTGGGTTTTTGGGGTAGTTAGGAGGTGATGATGTTATAGGGCGGGGTGGTTGGAATTGAAAGGAGTAGACGAGTGAGTAGTGGAGGTTTTGGTAGAGGTAGATGGGATATTAGGACGTTTGGGAGGTGTTTTAATGCGGGAGGATTCTTTGTGAGTAATATTTACGATAACTAAACTGGTCTTGGTGAAAGATTCAGATGAACTGTAAGTTGGGGGTGTAATTGTCAGGAGGGTAACGACCTGCTTCTCTTCTGTATGCCGTTAAATGCTACCGAACGAAACTGATTGACTGCATTATCTATTTCTGGACTACTGAGTGAGTAAAACCAACAGCTCCAGCTCTCCTTCTTTGTCGGCTGATATATCATACCAACTTGTATATTTCGTCTCGAGAATCACTGATGTTAGCACATTGCACACATGATAATCTCCTCATTCCTCAATACTCGTTCCTCTTTGACACTGAGGAGATATACCAACTTGCAAGGTCACCCCTGATATGTGCTTGCTTCATCGTCTGTTATATTTCTTTGAGAATTGGGGTATATCGAAGTTGGTGATAGCAAGCTCAAAAAGAGCCTTTGAGGGTAGACAACTCCCTCGTCTGTTACATCTCTTTGAGAAGAGAACATCTGGCAGTTGGTCATCGCAGTCTTTGGATGTTTCTGTTGGTAGCATATGTTGGCAGCATATGTTGGCAGCATACATTGGCTTCCGTTCGGAGAATTACTGAAATTGGTGTTGGTTGGGAAATGTAAAAGACAAAGAACCACCACGATATTCCGAACGTCACACCCAGACGAACCTTCATACTGTGATCGTTGATCTCGAGAAGTGGTCGTGGGAAAAATGTATAAGTATCTGGCTTTGAATGGCCTCCAAAGCTCTTTTCCTCCTCATCTACGCCATCATTCTTACGATCTCAGTTCAGTTAACAACCATCATTGACACACTACTTACAACAAATTCAGTTCCAACCAAGCTTTTCGATACTCAGCCGAAATGAGTAGCAACCAACAGAGTTCGCAGTCGGAACTACCCAAGGGGGAGGTTCGGGACAGGGGAGGTGTTCCACAGGTTCTGGTTCAACACAGAAAGTAATCAAGATTCAAACCCCGGGCCAGGGTCCAGGATATCGTTAATACCCTTGCAAATATCGCGACAATGGAAAAGAACATAACATTATTTGGGTAAATCACGGTGAACCTTACGCATTGTGCCAGGTGAATAGTCACGAATAGCTAATTGACCGCATTTCTAATCTGTGCATCTGTGCTATTGTAACCCTCAAATCAACGAATTGATCAACGCTACTAGTGACTCGTCAATTAGTAGGTATGGTGGATTAGACGGTATTATTTGATCACTTCTAGGATACGGATTATTCGTCACTTATATTAATAAATAAAGTTGGTTTTCAATTAAAGCACACCCCTCGCCCTCGCCTAAGAAAGTGAATAAAGCACCCTAAAAGAAGCAATTAAAGCGCATCCACAGCCTAAACAAGCAAAAAGTGAAGCTATTCCTAGATGCTATTATTTGTCGCCTTTAGGTCACGCCTTTAGTTTACGTCCGCCACTAACTCTCTCTCCACCTGTTCCCTAGCCTCTATGCCCCCCTCGTCTCTACCCCCCACGTCACCTACCCTCCTCCTACGCCTCCGTCCTTTTCTCTATGTAGCGGCAACAGGAGCTCTATTGTTTTCGACTTGTACAGCTATAGCGAGAGAGACTTTGACGCTAGATGGCGACATGCCCGGGTCGGCAGCGTCTATAGTAAAGGAACGGTAAGGACGGTAGTAGTAGGGAAGAAACAAGGGGCAAGAAACACAGACCTTTATATATATTTGTATAGTGTTGTAGTATTTACTTGCTACATTCCATTCCTTATTCCACACCTACCACCCTACTTGTTCCACACTGTAACAAGCTACAACAAAAGGTCATTATGCAATAGATTATCGTATTTGTGACGTCCATAATGGTACTCCGCAAATCTATTGTACGGCGATTGCAATAGTCTAATTGGTCAAACCGGCAAATCCGGGGTTACCATAGCACACATCGCAGACTGAGACTGGGGATTGAAACAATACTATTCCTCAGAAGTTATAATACAACCCAACGTATAGGGCGGTGGGGTCCGATTTGATCCACTGTACTCGCAGTTGGGGGTGTATTAACGGATCTAATTGTCTTTAAATCCTAGGTTTATATTACGGACGGCTTTTCATTATGATTATACGTTTCTATCCCACTATCACTACCTCAGCTGAATTTCACTGGCACTGCATTGGCGGGCCATAAGTCGCTCTTTAGGGATTGTTTTATTTGCTTATTTGGCGTTGATTCTACAGTCGAGTTCGATATAAGCTTCAATCCGTGAATTTGCCGACTTTTGTAGAATCCGTACGTATTAGGTAGTAACTATCTAAAAAATAATAGCTTTTAAAATATCTATCAAATATATATACAAAGTAATTTATCTTATTCTTAAAGTCTTTAATATTAAATATACTACGTAATACTTAAAATAGCGCTAAACCTCCTACTAGAACACTACTAAAAAGGGGTTATAAAACTATAGTAGAGCCTCTAGTAGAGCCTCTAGTAGAGCCTTAAAAGACTATATCTCTAAAGGTAGTTTTATAAGTAGGATTAAGAGTTAGAACTAGTTTTCTTACTCTTATTCCTTAGTTAGAATTATCTTATAATTTATTATATACTCTCTCTCGAATTCGACTTAATGTAATACTAGCGCGAAGGGATCTGTCGCTATTACTATTACTATTACTATTACTATTAAAGGAGGAGGAGGAGGAGGTATAGTAAGAGGCTCTAAAATAGTTCGATAGTATAAAGGAGGATATTAAGGATAGTTAGGGCTTAAAGGATACTTAATATTTAAAGATAATATAGAAAAAGTATAAAGTAGATAAAGAAGCGGAATAATAAGCTATTAGAGAATAAAATACTTAAGATAATACTTTAATAGAGAGAATATAAGTATAAGTAGTAGTATAAAAAGTAGAGACTTATAAGTATAATTATAAGGGTTTTAAGGCCTAAGAGGATACTAGGGAGGCTAAAGAACTCGAAGCTAATTATTGTGACGGAGCTGGATTTCGTTTGACAGGATTTCATTCGCTTGGCCAAGCACGTGACGAGACTTGGCATTGGAACAACTTAAATAACTTCGCTCCTTTCAGATTCTCTTCTCTCTTTAGTTTGATTTCTTCGTACCTACGGTTTTAGTTCTAGCAATTGATTCAAAAGCTGTATACACTTTATCCTTTGTTGGCATCCGTGACAACTATTATTACGCTCCTTCCCGCGCTTAAAATAGCGACCGCCGACATATTAAGCTGTTACGGAGTTGGAGGAACTAGGGGTTGATCACGTGTAGCGCAGCATGTAGTATGTGTCACGTGCGCGCTGCTGGCATCCTGTATTTAAGCTCTCGTTCCTCTGGAACTCTCTTCCTTCCTCACTTTGTTGTTCGCTCAATACAGCAGTTTCCGTTTGACTCCGTATTCATCACAGCAAGCAGTGGTTCACTCCACACGGTTACATTACAACAAAGTCACCTCTTCGCCTGGGAAGGCCTGTTATAATATCCCACTTTGTTTATTTGTTTTTGGCTGACGA